GCGTTGAATTTTCGTCGATGTTAAGCCTAACGAAGACTATTGTATCGTTAAAAATTATTTTTTTATTTTGTACGAACAAAATAAATATATTGAAAAATATAAAAACAATAAAAAATTATATTATTAAAATAAAAATTATAATTATTAAAGATGTTAATTTAGTATCAAAAACGTAAAATATTTGAGTAGTCCAAGACATAGCCAAAGATTGCAGCGCCCAAACACTGCCGAAAATTTAAATTTGCCGACTGGAATTCTTTCGGATGATTGACTTTCGGATAATCGACGCTCTACTGTACTTCACTCATTCGCCATTCTCTTGGTATTTTTCTCATATTCCTCTAGTCCAAAATAATAAATAATTATGAAATTTTAAATGTTTCAACGAATTATTCTTCGTTTTTCTCGTGTAATTCGCAATTTTGACCGTGATATTCGTCTGGACATATACACAAATATTCGTCTCGATCCGCCATGTTTACGCACGTTCCATTGTTCAAACACGGATTCATCAATTCGCAATAATCAATTTCTACGAAAAAAACACGTGAAAATTTTAAGTTAAATTTGAATAATTTAGGCAAAAAATAATTCACGAGTCGAACTTACTTCTATCGCATAACGGGCCACTATATCCGGGTAAACAATTACATTCCCACGGTTTATCGCAAGTTCCGTTCTGGCAACCGGGATACGGGAAACATTGGTCGCAATTTTCGCCTTGCCAACCTACGCGGCATCTAAAAATAACAATATAATTTCATAATCGTAAAGCCATGCCCCAATAAACTAAACTACGATCGATCATTTATTAATAGTATCATCCCGTTTATCATACTTACCTACATTCGTTGGGTTTGGTACAATATCCGTGTTCTTTACTGCAATTTTGGCTGCATTTTGCTAAATATACAAAAATTAAGAACGATTTTCGTATAAAATAATATATTATTAATTAATTAAAATGTCTTACGTATGTGACAGAATAAACTAGTCCATCCTTCTTCACAAATGCAGTCTAGAGGTTTTTCACAATAGCCATGGACACATCCAGGTAATTTTCTACATTCGTCGCATGTTTCACCTTTCCATCCAATTCGACATCTGCGAAAAGTATTTTCGATCCGTTTATATTAGCATTAAAAATAAATTTTCTATATAAATATTATAATATATATACAGATCTTACTTGCATTCGCCGGGATCTTCGCAGTAACCTCTTGTAGCGTGGCAACCCTCCTTACAAATCGCTACAAATTAAAATGGTTGAATTTATTATGATTCGTTTACAATACAACATATTGTCTTCCTTAAATATATCGAATTTTAAATAATTAAGAATGGTGACTAGCGAGAAAAGTGGTGAAAGACCACGAAATTAATTGGTACTTACGCTGGCTGCAGAAGAGCCCGTCCCATCCTGAAATACAATTACACTGGAATGTGGAATCGCACGAGCCATGCATACATCCCGGTAGTGGTACACATTCCTCGCAAGTGTCTCCTCTCCACCCGATTCTACAAACACAATCGTAAGGTTTGGTGCAATATCCCTGACAGCCTTCGCGACAAATCGGACGATCGCAATGCTTTCCTGTCCAACCTTCGCGACAAACTTTGCTTCCAGTAGGAGAACAAACGAAGGTAGCTTCGGTGTCGTTAGACGATGGGCATTTTTCGACACATTTGCTTCCAGTATATCCGGGAGAACAGGCTACTTTAAAACTGTATTCCAGAGAAGCATCGTTTTCGGCAGTTAAGTTGGTAGTTTTCCATACATTATTAGGAGATGACTTGTGTTGGTTGACAAATCTAGCAATCAATCTGCCGTCTTTAACAGCTATGAAAAAAGAAACAAATCATTTTTATGTACTGTACAAGATTTAAAATTACATATTGAACACTATGTTTACCTCCATCGACGGGATCGCTTCCATTAGGACTGTGCCACGCCTCGATTATAAATAATATCTTTCCCTAGAAGAAGCAAAACAAAAGTAAATTTATAAAACAAAAGACCTTCCGTAGAGTTATAAATTATCAAATTTTTCTGGAAGAAATTACATCAAGAATCTTTTAAAGCCACGATAAAACATTAACCCGGCACACTTACACATGACATTAAACTAAGAACAAAATAACACTTACGGGCCAAGGAAACTCAAAAGTCATGTTTATGGCCGTGTCTTTCACGGGGTCTTCTTTCGGCAGGACGTCCGTCACGACGAGTCCAAAGGAGCATGGCGTATTGGGATCAATACGTAAATGTAAATTGAATAAATTTTGAAATCTAGAAACGTGAGTGCCACATATCCTGAGGAAAATATTACAGGGTTCGTAACATTCGTCCTCCGTCTCGTTAACGTGACAACATTGCCCGGTTACATCGTTATTCCTCGTGTTAAGTAACTCCTCCAGGCGCAAATGGACGATACCCGAAGACGACACCTAAAACACACGATATTAATCGAAATATTTTGTACATAAATTAAAATAGAGCATTAAAACTTACACGGTGTATAAATATAGATAGCAAGAACACCACAAGAGACGTCATATCAGACCGAAGTACAGAATTATCCTGACAGAGCGACCATTATTGTTTCCTGTATTGGAATCCTTTGTATACTTCCTTATGTTATTTACTAACTGGTTTTTATGTCATCTTCGATGAGAAGGTCGTATCTAAGGCTAATGACCTGTAATGACATCAGAAACTTCTATCCGTGACTCACCAGTTGGGGGTAGTTGATTGAAATTTTCATATCTTAAAACACACGTTTTTAGTCTAGAAATAATTTATCAGTTTCGAAGAAATTATAATAAATATTTGATAAGTTTATTATTAATTCTTTCCAGGTAATGTTAAAATGAATAAGTAAGTGGTGTCAATGTCAGAAAGTTCGTATTTTATTCATATAAATGACTTTTATTGCCGTCTCTAAACTACTTTTCCGATTCTTTTAGTGATAATTAAAATCGATGACTCCTACTTTCATATTTAAGTTAAAACTTCATTATTATTTTTAAATATAATTATATATTTAGAGAAATGACTAAATTTATACTAGAATTAAAAGTTTCTTATTTATTCTAATAAACAACACACTGTGTATAATTCTTCTCATCCTGCAACTACACATTTTATTAGAGTGACTATTAATGGAGTAAATCTGGTAACTTTTTTACTTTATTATTATTTGCAACACTGGACAAACTTGCACTTTATTTCAACATACAATAAAGAAGACATTGCTGAATACAACGTGCAATTTTTCTTTTATAAGAAAGTACGCTTACTATGAAACGCCACTGTTTATTAGAATAAATACAGCAGTTTCATACAATAAAAAGAGGATGATCGTCTTTTTATTTTGTGAAACTATCAGTTGGTCATTCAAAATATTATTGTTTGTAGTTATAGCATTTCACTTTTCCTTAAAATTTCATGGTAAGTAAAAAAACTTGTTAAACTTTCAATGAGATTATTTATTTACTATTAAAATAAAAATAAAAACTGCTAACTTTAAAAATTTTTATATTTAAAATTTTCTGTTATGAATAATTTTGTGTAATTTAATTATGTTCAAGTAAGTTTGAGTAAATATTAAGAAAGTTATAATTTTATATAATTGTTGATAAGTGAAATTATTATTAAATTTTAAAACATTCTTGTATTTGAATTTTGAATTATATCAAACAAAAACTAAACAAATAATTTTGAACTTGTTTTATTACAAAAAGAAAACATAAAATTCTTCCATTTTCAAAGAAACATATACAATATATCATCTAAACTCGTATTAGTTGTGTCTGAACAATACTGAACGTACTGCATATTTTACATTTAAAAACTTATCTCCTAAAGAAACGTCCTGTCCATGCTCCGGTCAATGACGACTTTTTCTCTTCTTGCAATTGCTTTATTTGTCGTTCTTGTTCCTAATTGAATAAAAAACATTTATATTGTATGTTAAAATATTCAGAATGGTTACAAACCCGATTCCGACTCACCTGTAACTTTCTTTGGTTTTCTTTAAAGGCTTCTAATGGATCGTCAAATTGCCTATAGAAATCTAACACTGTTCTAACATCTTCAACACCACTTGTAGCAATAGCTATTGATATAATTATATATATTAAATTTACTAAAATATATATGTATATATATTTTAACTAAATTCAAATTAAATATACAGAGTATAGTATAGTATGTTAATCAATCAAAACAATTATAGTTATACCATATGTTTAATAATACACTTGACGTAATTAATAGTGTAAATTAATGAAGTATGAAAATATTAAAAATTTCTTATTAACTATTTTAATAAACTTTCTGAAAACATTTTTCTAAGAGAGTTGTNTCAACTCAAAATAGATTGAAATATAGCTTTAAATACTTTACATATACACAGCGAATATTGTAATATGGCAATAGATGAATAAAAGATGTACATAAAATAATTTTAAAAGATTAGAGTTAGAAATAAAAGTAGATCTCTGCAAATTCCATAGCTTCTGCCGGATTGCTGATCGATAGAGCTTTCTGTATAGGGTGGAAATGGAATGTTACTCCCTCGACCGTGTCCTCCTTCCTTTTGTTCCTCAACGTTGGTACGATCACATCTTCGGCTAATATGGTGCGTACTTGAAGTTCCATCACATATTCCAGACCCCTTCTCAAGTAAAACGGTTTGGTTAATTTCAATCGAACGTCTTTTTCTTTGGAGAGTGTAAAGTTCACATCAATGTCCTCCCTCTCCGTTTTCTCTTCTTGTATCTTGTAAGTTAATCGAAGGTTACCATCGAAGCGTGGCTGCCTGATAGAATAATAACCACTGTCCAATCTGACTGGGATACTGACACCCACTAAGAATATATCACGATTGGTGACCACAAAATGGCTTCCGAATGCCCTGATGGGTCTGACGGGTGTGTGGAAAGATGTCGGTTTATAGCGAACAACGATAAAATATTCGGGAGGTGAAAGTCTCTTATTTGTCTCGTTAGAAAGTCCTTTCGGCATTGGAATGATGCCTTGGATTGCTAAATTCATAAACACACAATAGCACTCTTCCTTATTTAAAAGTCCACTTTTGGCGGGTCCTTTGCAGAATTCTTCCGATGTCATCGTCAACCATCTTATATAAGGAAGTACATTCTCTAGGGCGTGCCTCAAATTCTCTATTTCGGGATCTAAATTTCGTCGCTTGCATTCTTCTTCCGCCCATAGATAAAGAGCACTATACAACGAGAATTCCGAATACAGATTGAGATATTCACGGCGCACTATTAACTCTAAAGTACCCACACTGACGTTGAGAAACGTACTCGAAGTTAAAACGTGATACGTCTGTCGGTCTATAGTATTTAAGCACTGAAAAACTAGAGTGTGAGCTTCCATGATGATTGCAAACTCGTAGACTTGGCATGCGTTCTTCGGAGAAACGTTTCTTTCAATATAATTGAAACATTCTCTGAGAAGATGAGGAAGAAGGTATTTTTTCGCTGCGTATGCCGTTAACATGGCATCGTCCACCGTTTGAAATTTTAACGTGTCCGTGTAAGCGTACCTAAAATATTACACACGTAAGATTTAAGTGTTTACATTCATTCCAATAAATAAAATTATAAACTTACCTCAAGAGATTTTCGAACCCAATTGGTGCTATGTCTGTGATTCGAATCACCTTGGATTTGTCAGCCATGTCGCCATAGAACATGGCTTCAAATACGGGACTAGTCATCGCCAACAGAACACGGTGACCCACATATCGTTTAGACGAAGTGTTCGGTCCAACGATGAACGTAACGTCAGATAAGGCGGTGTTCTTCAAAAGTGAGGATGTTCTTTGAAGAACTTTCTCACTTTCGCCTTGCCACTCATTCATATTGTCCTGGGAGAATAGTGAAAATATATCTTAATAATTTGTCTAATATGCGCAAATTCTCAATTAATCTCTTCAATAGACGTGAAATATTGGAATGGCGTGTAAATCCTGCATTGTAACGTGAGGAGCGAATTTGGTATAACCGAAAATAAATAGAAAAATTCTTGTAAGTCCATCTTAGAACTAGATACATAAATATTAATTAGTTATATATTTAATATAAGAATAAATTTTCATAATCAAATTATAATAAATTATCAATCAAACCTTTAAGAATCTAGAAAGGATTAACGGGTTCCAGTGCAATGGACCGTTGAACCACGAATGAATGAGAGAATTTTCGATCTTTAGCGTGTTTAAAACAAGGTTTATAGCTTTTTTCTTAACTGGGTTTCTTAACCTCTTTAGAACCACGTAGTCATCTCCCAAATGTACAAGTCACGAATGTTTTCGACAAGATTGCGTGATTAAACAGCATGCGCCCGTTTAATAAATTACAAAAATTCCATGAAGCTACCATAAACGGATGAAAGAAAAGATTTATTTCTTACCTGAAGAAACATCGAAGACATATGTAATTTTAAAAACTTTCCATCGCATTTATTAACAACCGCAGGCTTAGAACTACAGACTCAAAATGCAGGCCACGAGGTCTCGCTTTGTTAACCAAGCCCACAATTGTTGTATAATGTATTAACGGGGCGCCTCTCGCACGACTGATCCAACTTGGCCAATGTATTTTACGAGGTTTTATCGAAGTGTGATCCACTTTAGCCGATGCCATGGCAACGGCGTTAGAAATCGTCACGGATGATGTGCAATAACTAGGCAATTACAACTTAGTACATCCCATGGATATATCTTTAAATGGCTAATTTTAAATTTTACTTTTTTTTTCATTATTTAAATTCGAATTTAAGCATTTTACATACGAGATCACTTAACAAGACACGGCTTTTTAAGTTCGTAATCGATAGATTTAATAAAGGAAAATATATACAAACCTCCCAACAACGGACACCGAATAGAACATAAAACAATTGGGAGGTGGCCGTTATTAAAGGTTCGTAATATAAATTGCGTATTAAAAAGTTTTTAATCGCGGATTTAATAAAAAATGAACCAGAACAAATTCGTTCTTGGTAAATTCAATTTTATGTTCGGCAGTTATATTAAATAAATGGTTTCTACAGAAAATTGCGTTTTATTACAATAATTTCGGTTCGAATCGCTTGTTTTTTATATATATACTAACACAAAATTTATCGTAGAGAAAAAAAAAGAAATTTAATTATAAAATTATATCATTAAAAAATTAAAGTTCTGTGTGTATTAAAATGAAGGGACTTTGATGATAATTCGGAATAGTCACGATACAAGCTAATTGTATAATAATCATTATTATAGGATCATACGTTATATTACATTGTGTTAAATCAATTCATGGAAAATTTTTTTCATAATGGGCCGATGTTAACATCAGAATATGATACTTTAGTCAAGCGCACTAATCAGAGGTTCTTTCATATATAATCAATACCACATACTGACGTAAATCTCGAATACTCATTCTACTTCTTTAAAACTGAATAAAATAAGGCATAATTTATGTAAAAATTCTATTAAATTTCATTATTTTGCAGGAACCAAGATTGATTTTTATAGAATTTATAAAGTATGTCATAATATTAATCGGCACGTTAAGAATCTAGTGTTTACAATCGTTCGACACGTCTTATATATGACAGAATTGTGCTAATTATGACGCATTAAGAGGGATTTCTGTATATATTTTTTAATCCTTATTAATTTTTTAATCGTATTAACTTTTGCGTAATTTTATACCCGTGAATAATTTATAACAGTAGCAACTTTCGAGTCGAGGAAATGTAACGTGAACGTGTCGAGCTATCAGAAGAATTTATAATTTTACGTAATATTTAACGCTAATTTTAGGATATAAACCGGCATTAAATTAAAATTTCTATATTATAATTTCTTACACCGAACTTCGATGACATTGCTCTTGTTACTGAAACCATTAAGTCATACATCATTAGTATTAAATTACTAATTCAAGCGATATAAACGATATATAAATATATTAAAACGATGATCGATATTTTCGCACGTTATTTTTAATTATAAAAAATAAATTAACGCTTAAAATACTTTATATCTAATTACCGTAATTTATTAGTAAGATTTACAGTTTATTAAACAGAGGAATTACTGTAGTTAAAATTGATTGGTTAGTCGATTTGAAATTAAGTGTTTAATTCCAGAATTTAATACTTGAAGGTAGTCTGTAGAGCATTCAAGTATTACTTTTAGATAGGAAAGGAGAAAAAATACAAGTTTTAATTGTTTAATAAATAATTTTTTTAATTTGGTTCGATAATTCGGTTTGGTCCAGCTGAACGATGGGTGTGACATTCCAATGTGTAGGAAAAAGCAGCAGCCAGGAAGGGCGTGCCTTTCCTCACGTTGTCCGTTTTAAAAGCACAGATTGTTATTAATCAATGATTTATACTGAAAAACGTATATCAATAATAGCCAATTCCTCGAACATTATTCATGACAAAGATTTTTTTCCAAATCCCTACTAACAATCGACATATAAACCTTCATTTTCTGTTTTTCCCCCCTAACCAAATTCTTCCTATTTCAAAGATTTCTAAAAAAATTCCAATAAAAATGCAAAGCGAGTCGCTTCGTAAACTAAAATTTATATAGTTAATATATCTTTACTTATTTCGTATAAAAAATTAAATACAAAAATGGTGCCACTGTTTGAAATCAGGGTAAGATGCCAAGGTTTGTGTCTAGAGATAAAGCTAAGTTAATACATCTTTGTCAGATGTAGACTGTATTTAATCTGATAACTGATACAATTCATTAATTATTAAATCAAATTTTGGGAATTTCTGAATTGTAGAAACATCGCAGAATTATAAATCACTGTTTAAAAATGTATTATTTGTAAAACCGGTCAAGGTCTTTTAAATGATCAATTATATAAGATAAAAAATGATGAGTCTCCATTTTTTTTTCTATATATTATTGGTTTAGAAGTTATAATTAACGAATATAGTGTTTAAAATCCTATCTTCATTAATATATATAATTATAATTACAATATTTTAAATACAATAAATGTTTCATTACTTTTTAACAAATTTATGGAATTATCTTTGAATAAAACATCTCTATTTTATGTATTATTAAACTAAAGTTTTGATATTAATAAAAGATTATAACTTCAAATCTACTATTAACTTTAACTCAATTTTTAATTGTTATTAAAGAGAAGTAGCAGAATTTATGGAAAATGAAAAAATTCTTTTTTAATAAATAATTAATTTTTTACCTCCTACTCCTACATAGAATCAATACATGCAATTATATTTATTTATCTAAATTTATCAAAAATAAATTAATCATCATCTTTCTTGCTTTAACTAACTTAAGTGGAATTATTAAAGTTCTAAATTTTTTTATTATAAAAGTTAATGTTTCTATACAATAAGATTTAATATTATATTACGATGTTAATCTATTATTCTTAATTCCTATGTAATACAATAATGTCCTAATTTGCATTACCTAAATACATATGAAAATAGTTCAATTTTTAATATAAAATCTTTCAACCATTTATNCTTTTCCGATTCTTTTAGTGATAATTAAAATCGATGACTCCTACTTTCATATTTAAGTTAAAACTTCATTATTATTTTTAAATATAATTATATATTTAGAGAAATGACTAAATTTATACTAGAATTAAAAGTTTCTTATTTATTCTAATAAACAACACACTGTGTATAATTCTTCTCATCCTGCAACTACACATTTTATTAGAGTGACTATTAATGGAGTAAATCTGGTAACTTTTTTACTTTATTATTATTTGCAACACTGGACAAACTTGCACTTTATTTCAACATACAATAAAGAAGACATTGCTGAATACAACGTGCAATTTTTCTTTTATAAGAAAGTACGCTTACTATGAAACGCCACTGTTTATTAGAATAAATACAGCAGTTTCATACAATAAAAAGAGGATGATCGTCTTTTTATTTTGTGAAACTATCAGTTGGTCATTCAAAATATTATTGTTTGTAGTTATAGCATTTCACTTTTCCTTAAAATTTCATGGTAAGTAAAAAAACTTGTTAAACTTTCAATGAGATTATTTATTTACTATTAAAATAAAAATAAAAACTGCTAACTTTAAAAATTTTTATATTTAAAATTTTCTGTTATGAATAATTTTGTGTAATTTAATTATGTTCAAGTAAGTTTGAGTAAATATTAAGAAAGTTATAATTTTATATAATTGTTGATAAGTGAAATTATTATTAAATTTTAAAACATTCTTGTATTTGAATTTTGAATTATATCAAACAAAAACTAAACAAATAATTTTGAACTTGTTTTATTACAAAAAGAAAACATAAAATTCTTCCATTTTCAAAGAAACATATACAATATATCATCTAAACTCGTATTAGTTGTGTCTGAACAATACTGAACGTACTGCATATTTTACATTTAAAAACTTATCTCCTAAAGAAACGTCCTGTCCATGCTCCGGTCAATGACGACTTTTTCTCTTCTTGCAATTGCTTTATTTGTCGTTCTTGTTCCTAATTGAATAAAAAACATTTATATTGTATGTTAAAATATTCAGAATGGTTACAAACCCGATTCCGACTCACCTGTAACTTTCTTTGGTTTTCTTTAAAGGCTTCTAATGGATCGTCAAATTGCCTATAGAAATCTAACACTGTTCTAACATCTTCAACACCACTTGTAGCAATAGCTATTGATATAATTATATATATTAAATTTACTAAAATATATATGTATATATATTTTAACTAAATTCAAATTAAATATACAGAGTATAGTATAGTATGTTAATCAATCAAAACAATTATAGTTATACCATATGTTTAATAATACACTTGACGTAATTAATAGTGTAAATTAATGAAGTATGAAAATATTAAAAATTTCTTATTAACTATTTTAATAAACTTTCTGAAAACATTTTTCTAAGAGAGTTGTTACAGTAAAAGAAGACAAATTGAAATTTTTTTTACATATTATCAAAATACTGCTGGCTGTTTAGCAATTTAACCATAAAATATCATATGACAATTTGTTTATAATTAGCAATTATGGCATTCATGGAAATTGGTCCACTCATTCCACTCGTGTGCCAAAGTTCCATTCATGCCATCATTACCTATATTATAAACTAATTGCATACTGTATTGTTACTATTATTCAATCTCACTTTCGGAAAATGTTACTTAAGTTTCAACACTGCTGTTTTGAAACTCATTGAGTTCGTATCAGGAATATTCATAAAATTTTTCAAACAAATTGCATAAATGAAATATTAAATTGTTGCTCCAAAAAAAATTTTAAATGTCTTTTCTTTTGTTGATTTAACCACGCCCTTTTTTGAAGATTATCAATTTATTATACCTCATTTTAATTAAATATTATGAAATAAAATTAAATATTAATTCTTTTTACTGCAATCAATGAATGCAACGTCTACATTCGCAATGATTTTTATAATTACTTTATGTATTATTAACATCATCTATAATTATTTTCCTATAATTAATGCGAATACTTTCCTAAATAAAAAAAAATTTATGTATACACTTCATAGTTTTGATAGTCTTTTTTATAACTATTACAGAAAAAGATAATAGGTTAAAGAATAAAATAAATAGAACCATGTGAATATTAGCAGTTGCAGAATCATTAAACATCTTTAAATGGGTGTGACTAATGCATGAAACGATACTTTTTTTTAAAATTTTAGGGCATTATTACACAAGTCAATTGCTTGAATTCTTCTGTTATTTTTTTAAGTGGAACCAATTTATAATCTTATACTGAAATGATATATGATAATTTATTAAACATTTGTTATAGTGGTTTTTTTTCCCTTTTCCTTCTAAGTGTTTAATGTAAATAAATGCTTATACTATATATATTTAAAATCACAATTAAAATAATATATTTACTAATTAAGTAACCAAACTCGTTTTTATACTTTCACTGCTTGCTTAATCATAAAAATTCAATTTTTCTAGTGCTAAATAGACTATTATTTTGCTTAATTCTCAGAAACTGAATAAAGTTTTAGTTCATTACGAACAAATGTCTTCTATATTAATTTTTGTGTTCTTTAAAGAATATAAAAATTAATATAGCACATTGATTTAATTATAAATTGGTGTTTTATTCAAAAACTAAATAAAATTAACAAATGCTTTTAAATTCCTAATTTTTTTAAAATAAAAACAATTAAATTTACATTGTTTCATTATTATGTATTAAATATAAAAATAAAAAATTTAAAATCACAAAAGTGACAAGTATCAATAAAAAATAAGTACATTTTAGATGTGTTTATCATCTTTAACATATTATTAAAATTATGAATAAATTACTAAGATTGCTACAATATTAAATTATAAATTATTTCCAAAAAATTCTGTTAGATAATTAATCATTATATAAAATTATTATTATAAACTAGAATTTTAAATACATTAGACTCTTGCTAATCCAACTGTTCCTTGTAAAAAGAAATGCCAAATTACTGTATGTGTATGCCTAATGCCTGCTTAAAGGCAATGAATGAATGCCTTTCAGTACTGATTCTTTTCGGAGCTGTACTGTTTTTATTACTGTGAAATTACATACAGCAATTGTAAGTTTAATTCTTTATGAAATTTAATGTTACAAGTTTACTGTATGTATTTAAAGAAACATGAATTAGAGACAAACATATCAAAATGGGGGTATGCTGGATAATTGAGAGAACAGATTATTAAGGATCCGATCAGGAAGAGTATACTTTGCATTAGTTTAAGAAAAATGTAAACAAATAATATATAAAAACAAAATTACATTGTAAAACTCAACTGTTGTATATTAAAAACTTTTGTATTAAGAATATCAACACAACATATTACAGTACTCTAAATTTACAATAATTAAACAAAAAACTAATTGTTACAATTGTTTAATTTCACATTATTTACATTTCATTTTGATAAATGTTTTATCCTAATCAAAATAAATAATTTTTGTAAATCATTGATTTACACAATTTCTTGATGAAATACAAGAAAAAGAATCCTATCATCATCATCTTGCTAACACTGTCACATACTTTGAGGTTATATGCTGCAGTGACAATCTTTTGCCAGTTCTTTCTGTCACAACAATGATTCTCCAGTTAAATATTCTTAATAGTTTTAGATCTGTTTTGTCCAACCAACTTTCTTGAGGCTGTCCTTAAGGTCAGATTTCCATTGTTGGGTGTTAACAAATTTTGGCAGCATTCCTTAAACATAGCTCAACAATCTGATTTGATAGGCTTTAAATTTCCTGTTATATATGTGACACTGTACAGTTGGTGTATTTCTGAGATGCAGACAATAACGAACTAATGTGAAAAAGAGCTATAGCATTTTGAAAACACAAGTCTTGTGTTTTCAAAATGCTATAGCTCTTTTTAAATAAATTAAAAGCTTAAATAATATTAATAAGCTTAAATAATAATAAAAGCTTTATTTATAATATATACTAGTTATACAAAGATTAAAGCAGATTTTACGTTTTTAAATTATACAAAGTGTAACAAAAGTTGACTGAAGAGGGGCAAAGCCCGAAACGAGTAAAAAATGTACCGTATAAACTAATAAAGGAGTTTGATGGAAAATTTGCCATGTGTCTTTAGAATAAAACACATTACTAGTGTTTATTACGCCACAAATATAAAACAGGACACGGTTTCAAAAAGAAAATCAACAAATAAACAGCTNACAAATGCTTTTAAATTCCTAATTTTTTTAAAATAAAAACAATTAAATTTACATTGTTTCATTATTATGTATTAAATATAAAAATAAAAAATTTAAAATCACAAAAGTGACAAGTATCAATAAAAAATAAGTACATTTTAGATGTGTTTATCATCTTTAACATATTATTAAAATTATGAATAAATTACTAAGATTGCTACAATATTAAATTATAAATTATTTCCAAAAAATTCTGTTAGATAATTAATCATTATATAAAATTATTATTATAAACTAGAATTTTAAATACATTAGACTCTTGCTAATCCAACTGTTCCTTGTAAAAAGAAATGCCAAATTACTGTATGTGTATGCCTAATGCCTGCTTAAAGGCAATGAATGAATGCCTTTCAGTACTGATTCTTTTCGGAGCTGTACTGTTTTTATTACTGTGAAATTACATACAGCAATTGTAAGTTTAATTCTTTATGAAATTTAATGTTACAAGTTTACTGTATGTATTTAAAGAAACATGAATTAGAGACAAACATATCAAAATGGGGGTATGCTGGATAATTGAGAGAACAGATTATTAAGGATCCGATCAGGAAGAGTATACTTTGCATTAGTTTAAGAAAAATGTAAACAAATAATATATAAAAACAAAATTACATTGTAAAACTCAACTGTTGTATATTAAAAACTTTTGTATTAAGAATATCAACACAACATATTACAGTACTCTAAATTTACAATAATTAAACAAAAAACTAATTGTTACAATTGTTTAATTTCACATTATTTACATTTCATTTTGATAAATGTTTTATCCTAATCAAAATAAATAATTTTTGTAAATCATTGATTTACACAATTTCTTGATGAAATACAAGAAAAAGAATCCTATCATCATCATCTTGCTAACACTGTCACATACTTTGAGGTTATATGCTGCAGTGACAATCTTTTGCCAGTTCTTTCTGTCACAACAATGATTCTCCAGTTAAATATTCTTAATAGTTTTAGATCTGTTTTGTCCAACCAACTTTCTTGAGGCTGTCCTTAAGGTCAGATTTCCATTGTTGGGTGTTAACAAATTTTGGCAGCATTCCTTAAACATAGCTCAACAATCTGATTTGATAGGCTTTAAATTTCCTGTTATATATGTGACACTGTACAGTTGGTGTATTTCTGAGATGCAGACAATAACGAACTAATGTGAAAAAGAGCTATAGCATTTTGAAAACACAAGTCTTGTGTTTTCAAAATGCTATAGCTCTTTTTAAATAAATTAAAAGCTTAAATAATATTAATAAGCTTAAATAATAATAAAAGCTTTATTTATAATATATACTAGTTATACAAAGATTAAAGCAGATTTTACGTTTTTAAATTATACAAAGTGTAACAAAAGTTGACTGAAGAGGGGCAAAGCCCGAAACGAGTAAAAAATGTACCGTATAAACTAATAAAGGAGTTTGATGGAAAATTTGCCATGTGTCTTTAGAATAAAACACATTACTAGTGTTTATTACGCCACAAATATAAAACAGGACACGGTTTCAAAAAGAAAATAAAAAAAAGTAGTATATTTCACAATCCTCTGATAAAGAAAACAGATAAAAATTATTGTACATCTGGAGAGCATAAAATTTTTGAACAATATAATAATAATTCTCTTGGTAGGTAAGAGATGCAGATTCATATCTCAAATTTTAATTAATTAAATTTACTTATTGTTAAAAGTACAACTCAGCATGTAAAAAATATATTCTACAATGGTACATTTTCTTGAATACCTAAAACTTTATAACATTTTTGTCTTTAAAGAATTTTAAATTAATAAATAATCTAAACAGATAAGCAAAAGTTTTAATCTCTACTTTTAAAGAAACAAAGAATTTTATTATTTTTCTATTTATTCTTTCTCTTAAAAAAACATGTGCATGAATTAGAAAAGAATATTTCAGGATACCTTAGA